CACACACACACACACATATATATATATATAGATATATGTGTGTATATATATATGTACATATGCTTTAGGGATGTTCCGCTTGATTTTTCACAGAAAGTGCCTATGCAGTCAGAGTGAGTTCTGTCAGCCCAGGCAGGCAGAATTCCTTTTGCTCTGGGAGTCGGTATGGCAGCGTATTGGACTTTCGGGTTTACTGTTGGGGGGGGGGTCTAAATAATTACCTATTCTACTTAGGGGTTTCCTTACTACCCGCAAGACCCTATTCTAATTGTTAAGGCCCTATATTTTTGGAGTTTCGGGTTTAGGGCTGCCCACAATCCGTTTGATTGAGGCTTCCGAGAATTTCTGAGGATCTTATCCTAAACCTTAAACCCTACATCCCCATAAACCGAATACCCCTAAACCCTAAAGGAACGTGGAAAGCGGCGTAGACTAGGATGCCCAGTGGTACGCTTATCCCTTTTTGTAGTCCTAGGTTCCTTATAACAGTTACCCAATACCAAAAAGGGAGCCCTTTTTTCCTAGGTTACTGGGCATCCTAGTAGAGTTTGTCAGATGCAGCGCCGGACGGCTGTTGGAGCTGCTGCGGCTCGAAGAGACCTAGTTCACTCGATTTCCACGGTTGCGGGCTTTCAGGTTTAGGGTTTAGGGCTTTCAGGTAATGCAAGAATTCATGCAGCAGAACGGTTGATGATATAAATCCTGCATTACCAATATTAAGGAATATACCATAATTCCCATAGTTTAGGGTCCTTAAGGTAATGCAGGATTTATATCATCAACCGAAGTACCAGAAAGCCGTAGAAATCCCAACAATCGCAGGAGGCGGGAGACGATGACGTCAGGCAAAAGTCGGAACCTCGAACACATCAAGAACCAAACGAGGAATACTACCCTAAGGCCCCAAAGTAGTTCCTTTCTGGGGTTCATATTTAGAATCTTATGAGGTAATCCCAAAAGGAGCTACTTTGGATTAAGAAACCCTGGCCCTGTAACCCCAACATATTAGGATTAGGATCCATGTTAAGAGCCCTAATAAGGACCCAAGGTTTCTTGATCAGGATCCTACACTACAGACCCATCAAGGTTGAAGTCATCAGCAAACCATCAAAGCGCTCCCACTCCACCCGAGCATTCCTGTCACAGTCTGTAGCTTAGCAGTCGTGACTTTATGCTAGAAAAGGAGGATGAGTTTGTTGCTTCAGCAATGCTGCGTTTACTGTGGACCACGACGGTGGCACTGGCAGACTTCTCGCCAGGGTCATGTTGGAGGAATGGTAGCTGGTTTGATTGCTGCGCTATGGGGCAACGGTGCTGGGGAAATGTCCAGAGCCGCCGGGAGTGTTGTAGCAGCTCTCCGGAGCTTGAACCCATGCTGACAGACTTGCACACATGCAGCAATGACATCGCGCTCCAGCGCACTTTTCGGCTCGTGTCGCACCAGGAGATCGGCTTTGAAGAGGATTGTTTGTCTCTCTTGGTTTGCAAGCCAACCGAAGGTGGGTGATTGTCAAAATTAGGGTCCCTTTTTGGGTCCTTATTATAATACGGCACCTGATATTTCGGGTACCCAAAAAGGGGCCATAATTTTGACAACTACCCATATAGTACCCTTTTTGAAACCCTATAGGAACCCTAGAGGATCCCTTTAAGGATCCAAAAAGGGGCCAAAATTTTGACAACTACCCAGGTGGCTGGAGAGCAGTGGAGAGTGGCTTGTTTAGCTGCTCTGTTGGGTCTTCTGCCAAACTCCTGCCGCCTTTGACGGATCACCTTTGCTCGTTTCTTAGGGTTTTTTAGAAATAGTTTTTTAAGTTTTGGTTATTATAATCCCTAAGAAGCGGCTAAAATCATAGTTTTTGCTGGGGTTCCAAATTCAGTTTAGGTTTTTGGATCCAACACCGGCGGATATGTGGTACGATGTGGAGGGCTTTGAGCGCCTTCGCCAGAGATATCGCTTTGGCACGGCCGACCGTCCTCACTGCGCGGTGCCGGCATGGTTACTTGGTCATAGCTGGGTAACATTTTACAGTGTCATGGGTACTTAAACCCAATAAGGAATAACAATTCAATTTTTAATCCTATCCCAACCATGAACTACCCCAAATACTAGGATCCTTATTATAAGGGCCCCAAAATAAGGTACCCCTAATTTTCAGAAACCCTGAAACTAGGTTATTTGTGAAGGAAGAGCCGCTTCGATTGTACACGAGGATCCAAGCAAAGTCACAGGTGACAAGGGTTTCTAGGATGCCCGATAGTACCCTTATTCCCTTTTGTTAGTCCTAGGTTCCTTATAAAGTTACCCAATACCAAAAAGAGAGGCCTTTTTATTCTTAGGTTACTGGGTATCCTAGGTCTTGATCAACATCGGAGCGGCAGATGCTGTCATAGATGATCCTCTGGCTCACACGTTGACAGCATTTCCAGGAGACAGCAGCCGGCCTCCGTGGAAAGGAGTTTATTTCGAAGCGGTGCCCGAGAATTGCCGCTCGATACGAAAGCTGTTGAAGAAGAACGGAGCTCGGATTCATGTGGAATGCGGCTACATCACCCCGGCTTTAGCTGTTCAATCCATCTGCCACCAGCTCCAGCGCCAAGAGATTCCAGGCATCGCCCAGGTATGCCATGCTGCGGCAGTGCCAAGCAGCCTAGTAGTCAAGTAGGTAACCTTTAACCTTTTTTGGGTAGTATAGTCCCTACCTAAACTCCCAAAGTAGGTAAGATAATGGCCCAATATCCATAAAAAGACCATTATTCTACATACTTTGGGGGTCCCGGTATGTAACCAAAAGGTTAACCTTTAGTTCCCCATGATACCCGACAAGTAGGAGCATGATCCCAGGCCGAGACTTGAACGGAGAGAAGAGTGGTGAGACTTCCTCCGATGCTTCGGAGGTGCGGGTGGAAGTCGATGCCATTAGTGTCGACATCGATTCCTACGACTGCGCAGTTCTGCGGGAAACCCTGCGGGTTCTGAGCCCAAAGATGATTGCTCTGGAGGTTGAACCATATCCTCCCCCCATCATCGTCTCTTCAGATTTCCACCCCGAGTACCAAGAAAGCGAGAACAGAAGCATGTCTGGAAAGAAGGCACAGCGAGGCGGTACTAAGCGCAAAGGGGCTTTCGTGCCGGGTTGTTCTTTGAGCGCCGCGGTGGCCATGCTGTGGCCACACGGCCTCGGGCTTTACCGCCTCAGCGCGCGCGACGCGCTCTTCGTGCGTGGCGATGTGGCGACGGAGATTGAATTGGATCCGAGTGGCCAGCCATGGGCTCCAGCAGACGAGTTCCAATGCTGGAGGACGCTGTGCGCAGACTTGTGGCAGACTGAGAACCTCATGAGACTTGCCTCCTTGGGAGTTTATGACCATCTTATGCCGTTCGTGCATCGACGTATTAGAGACAAGCTGAAAGGTTCCTACCCAGCGCATCCTCTCACCGTGACAGTGGCCATGCCGCCTCCGGTGCACGATTTGCCCGATGTGAAACTGTTCGGAGTCGTGGGGAATCAAGCAAAAGTCTCTAGGCGGGCATGTGCATAGTGAAACCGTTAAAGGGGTCTATAGGGGCTCTGTAGTAGGGTTCTGTGGTTTAGGGGCCTTAATAATTAGAATTGGGTTTTGGAGCCCGATCAGCTGCATGCTTCGTTGGATGATGGTTTTGACTAGCCAGACATGTTTGGCAAATTGTGTTCGCATTTCTTCATACTTTGTATGGGCAGGTAGGCTAGTCGTGGTGACTTGCAACATACGAACTTTTCTGGTGATTGTAATCAAGCGAGCTATACGCAGAAAGGCCATACCGATAATTACAATATATAAGGTATCGTGTTAGGTTCTTCATGTACTATGGGGCCTATGGGTGGCCGACACTCCCAGAGAACTCGCGACAAAAGAAGAAGAAATACGTTAACTCCAATATAGGGGCTTGAACAGCCAGTTAGAATATTCCCAGTCGCTAGACCCCAACATGCTAAAGCCCTAAACCCTGAGCCTTCAAAGTCTGTTCCGGCCCTTCGACCACCAACAAAAGTCTGAAACATTGAGCTTGTAGCCCTGGCACCTTTTTGCCCCCAAAGCCCGATTAGGGTTTAGGGTTTTGAGTTAGATCCTAGACAGATCAGGTGGGAACCCTTTCAAACTTTAACCCCAGTAGAGGAGCAACACTGCAGCCCCAACACTGAAGTTAGGTGTCTTCTTTTGTTTCTGAAGGGCGGTTTAGGGTTTAGGGGGCTTCTAGGCCTAAAGCGTTCAGGAGTTTCTGGGGGGATAATGTCTACGGCTTTGCTGAGGTTTGGGCTTTTGGGGGCGTCAAGAGGTGGTATGGGGCTTCGGTTTCAGGAATGAACCCTACAGCCTCAACCCTAATCCCGAAACCCGGAAAAACCTTCAGCCCGAAATCCTGAAGCCCGACTATACCCGAAAGCCAAACTCGAACCTACACCCTGAACAGACTCAGGTGTCTGGGTTCACATCCGTGAGTTTCCGAAAATAGGGGACCCTAGTATAGTACCCCAAATAGTAGGATCCTTATTTTGAGGGCCCCAAAATAAGGTACCCCCCTAATTTTCGGAACCCCTAGACCCTAAACCTTAAATCCTATAGATCCCTTATAGGAACCCTTATAGATCCCTTCAATAGAGCCCCTAATTTTCGGAAACTCCGGTTCACATACGGACTGACTTGGTCCTTGCAGTATCGAGTCTCGAATATCGCTCCGGCTATGAGCGCGGGACGAGTTTTCCAAGACGGACTGAGGGTTTGGGGTTTAGGGTTTCATCGGGGCTTATAGGGCTGAGTCAAGGAATGCCAGGAGTACAAAAATTGTTTAGGGCCTTTTTGGGGAGAGATGGGTGATCAGTACAATCGTACTTCTAGGGTATGTCAGGTGGCTCGCAATAATGCGTATCATTACCGGATAGCTGGGTCATAGCTACAAATGTGTACAACCATGTTCCAGCAGGACTTCCAAGCATTATTGCGAATCCAGTCGAGCACAGGTGCGGTGGAACGCCATGCCAGAACCCTCGCCTAGAGAGTGCCGGCACGATTGGCCGCAGGCGCACGGTAAGAGAACGGATGTCAGAGTTACGGCCAATGCTAAACCCTAAACCCTACAGCATTTCACTGCTCTGTTTCTTGGGTGGATGTCGGCTCGTGGCCCCCTCCGTGATGGGATCCTTCGACTCAAGCCGTCATTGCTGCTACAATTCCGCCCTAAAGAGAGCCACCTGGGTTGGCCTTCGCCGCTAGTTGTTACATCTTAGTGGATCTCGCCACCCGCAATTAAGATGTTCAACAGCCGTTGTAGAAGTCAAGACAACCGCCATAGGACCATAAGGGTAATCGTGACAACAACATCACTATTCACCATAGTTCACCATGTAAGCTTCTATCCCGCACCCTGCAAGCGAAAATCTCTTGTAATCAGCGCGGAATTCCCCAAATCGTTTGATTCCGGAACGTACCTTTATCCAGGGTCTGTGTTCAATGAAGCGAAGATATAGACCCTAAACCCTATAAACTTTAACCGCTATAAACAATTATGCCCCAGAGCGGATCCACTGACATGGGAGTTTCCGAAAATTCGGGCCACCTCATTTGGGGTTCCTTATAGCAAGGATCCTACTACTTAGGGTACTATATTGGGTTTCCCCATCTTCGGCATCTCTCACATGAGTTCTGGTCGTAGATCCTGAATCTTCACAGGCACTCGGATCTTGCACCCGAAATTACCCATAGGCCCCATAGTAGCTCCTTTTCGAGTTTATAAGTAGAATCCTATAAGGTAAGCCCAAAAAGGAACTATGTACTATGGGGCCCATGGGTGGCGTCAGGTTCTGGGCTGTAAGCCTTACACCCACAGGCCAAGTACCTATACTAAATTGACCCCGAAGTACCTACATGGGCACCCTTGTAAAGTCAGTGTATAGATACTACATAGGTGCTTGTATGAACCCGTGGTAGATGCCTAGGATATTAAAGGAGCCGTATAGTAACCGTTCCAGAGATCAGAGACCCCGAATTAAGCCCTACTAAAGTGCCAGGAGCCGCCCGCAGCAGTCGGAGTGGCACCGGAATTTGATGTTCAGCCTTCTGCCAGAGACTCCCTGGAAGAGCCCTCCACGGTTTAGGGTTTAGGGTTTAGGGGGGACAGGGTTTCGCGCTATAGGGCTTCAGGGCTTCGGGCAGAAGGCTAGCGGGCTTAGAGGCTTCAGAGTTTTAGGCCTTTAGGGGTTTGGGGTTTAGGGTTTAGGGTTTAGGGTTTAAGGTTTAGGGCTTAGGGTTTAGGGTTTAGGGTTTAGGGCTTAGGGTTTAGGGCTTAGGGCTTAGGGCTTTAGGGGTTTGGGTTTGGGTGTTAGGGATTTAGGATATTGGTGGGTTTGGGGTATTCAGTTTTGGGCTCGACGAGGCATAAATGCCCCATCTTAGGAGAACCGCGAATATTGAGAGAGTGGGTCGCGCCGGCAAAAACCGGAACCCTACGGCTTCAGTGAGGCTTCAGCCGTTTGACACAGGCTCTTCTATCACCACCCTCCCTAAAGCAGGGGTATTTCCAGGTCTGAATAGTTAGTTATGCCCTGTCAGTCCCTAGAAAATACACCCAAACCCTAATCATTAGGCTCCTTGCATTGCCAAAAAAATTCTCCATGAATCCCTACTAAAACTATGGTTCCTGTGCCAAGTCCTTGTAGCAACCCTTAACGGAACCCTTATAGAAACCCTGTGCTGATGGTTGCCTTTGGCAATACCCGGAGACTCCAAAACTTTAAGTAAGGAGTACTCCTTAATTCCTGTTTGGGTTCCTACTATGATTCAAGAAATACCTAAACTCCCACTGGCCCAATATCTAAAAAAGGGCATTATTCTACATACTTTGGGGGTCCAGGTAATCCTTAGTTAAGGGGTTTGGAGTCTTCGGATAGGTGACTTTCCGAAAATACGGGACCTTAATTTAGCAGCCTAAAATGTAGGATCCTTATTATAAGGAACCCAAAATAGGGTACTACCCCCTAATTTTCGGAAACCCTAAACCCTAAACCTATAGATCCCTTATAGGCACCCATATAGATCCCTTTAAAGGATCCCCGAAAAAACGGAGACTGCCATATTGGAGCCAGGAGCCAGCAGTGTCGGCCTCTCTTAGCGCCTCTAGGGGACTGCCGCCGGCTGCCGTTTCGGACAAGGTGCCCCGTTTAGCCTTCAGGGTTGAGGGTTTAGGGTTGAGGGTTTAGGGTTCAGGGTTTAGGCTTTAGGGTTGAGGGTTTAGGGTTAAGGGTTTAGGGTTGAGGGTTTAGGGTTCAGGGTTTAGGGTTCGGGGTTGAGGGTTTAAGCTTTACGGTTTTGGGTTGAGGGTTGATGGTTTAGGAGTATGGCTGTTATGTTGACTTACAAACGGGATCTGCGGTAAAGGATGCGCGATGTTGCCGTCATTGGCTTTTCGTTCCTTTCTGGTTGTTGTCCCAGGCGCTGTGGGCAGAAATGTTGCCGAACATGAAACACCGAGCTTTAGGTTGGAGATGATGTGCCCTGCGGCCATTCTGCCATTGCCGCCAGCGCCATTTTGGGAGAGCTGCCCCCAGCCGATGTAGACAAGGAGCCGACGCTCGTCAGAGGGTTGTGCTCTTCAGTTTTGGCTTGTGCCGACATGTAGAGTCGAACTTTGGGAATCCACTGTAAATCCGAAAGCCTTCAGCTCTACTGTAGCGAGCCGGAGCGGTCCGAGACAATCCAATGCACGCTGGGCTAACGAGTGTTTATTTAGGCTTATCAGCCCTAAATCCGATACAACCCTAAACAAACCTAAACCCCATGTCCGTCAAGGAAGATTCTGCAACTACCGGGAACATCAGGCTTTCCTGCTCTATCGTCTCAATGACCTCCCTGAAAATAAGGACACTTGTTCGGATTGGATTCCCCCACCTAACCTAACCCCGAAACCTTCAACCCTTAAAGACTTCCATCCGTAACCCTATAAGCTATAAACCCTATAGCCACCAAAAAGTGAACTCCTAAGACCTAAATCATTGACAGTCATATGTGGTGTTTCTTCAATGGGGTACTTCTTCAGTGGCCTTTGCAGCCAAGAAGCAGATTCCGAAAAATTATTTCAAATGGCTGCGATTTTTAGCTAAAATTGAGAAAAGACCTAAACATTCGGAGAAATTCCAAAACATTCCAAAAAATCCTTTCTGGATTGCGTGCTTGAGGTGTTTTAAGCAAATTCAGGAATTATGAGCGAGGTCGGGGCTAATTCTGAAGAAGAACCCTTTCCCTGAAGAACCAAAGATTGCAGCAGACTACACCCTGATCGCCTCCCTGGACCCCCAAAGTATGCAGAATAATGGCCTTTTTATGGATATTGGGCCATTATTTTACCTAGTTTGGGACTTTAGGTCTGGCCAGGATCCGGATGGGCTCAGCGATGCCGAGGAATCCCCAGGCGGCGCTGAGGTTTTCGCAGAGCCGGATTTGCATGACGAGGCAAGGCTTGTGGAGATGCGAGGGTTTCAAGGGATCGTGAGTTTAGGGGTTTTGGGTTTAGGGTTTTAGGGTTTAGGGATTTTCGGTTTGGTGTTTTTGAGCTGTCAGAATGAAAATACGGAGCCCCAGGCAGTGCGTAAGTTTGAGATCCGGTTGGTCGATGTCCGACGGGCGACTCAGATTCTAAGCGCCGGTCCTCACGTGCAGCCTTTGGTCGCTCTGCCGTCATGCTCGGGCCTATGGAGCAGGAGGTAAACGACCCAGGGCGCCCCAAAAGCAAAGCCCAACCCCTGTAATCCCAAACCTTTAGCCTCAAATTAAAACCCCAACCCCGGTAATTCTTTCTTTAGAACCTTTAGCCTCAAATTGAAACCCAAGCTTGGTCTGCAAGCAGGGAAGGCAACCCTTCAAGACTAGAAGCAGCAAAGCCCCTAGACTCCGAACTGCAAATCCCGAGCCCCAAAAGAAGCCTGCCAGCTGCAATAGCAACTCTAGGACGCCAACACGACGAGTTTGAGCCGTCACCTCATGTTCAGTCAGTTGTATATATATACATCTATATATATATACACACACACACGTACACACACGTACAGCTCCATATAAAAATATACATATATGTATGTATGTATGTATGTATGTATGTATGTATGTATGTATGTATGTATGTATGTATGTATGTATATATATATATATATATATATATATATTCATTTGTTAATTTTACATGCATACACGCATACATACATACGTACATCTATCTATATATATACATACATACATATATACAATATATTATAATATAATACAATAAAATATAACATAATCTAATCTAATCTAATCTAATCTAATCAACAATATAATATAACATAATATAATATAATATATACGTGTGTGTGCGAATATATCTATATATCCACATGTATGTATATATATATATATAGATATATATACACACACATACTTGTCTATGTATACACACAGATACCCGAATAGTTGTTGGATTGTTTCTGGTTAGGGATTATTTATGATCTCATGGCAAAGCAAAGCCTCAGCCCCTAAACCCTAAACCCCTACGCCTAAACCCCAAGCCCCCCGGGGCCGAAGGAGGAAGTTTCTGAGGAGGACTTACCCCTTCTGGACCTGGTGGAGAAGGCGCTCATTTGGATAGGGTTTAGGGTTTAGGGTTTAGGGTTCAGGGTTCAGGGTTCAGGGTTCAGGGTTCAGGGTATAGGGTTTAGGGTTCAGGGTTTAGGGTTCAGATTTAGGGTTCAGGGTTTAGGGTTTAGGGTCTTGTTGGGGATTTCTTTTCCGGGTTCTGCAGTATAGATTCTTTCGTTCTTAGCCGGGTTTCATCGAGCTTCCCGTAGAGCGCACTGCAGGGTGTGCGAGTTAAAGATGCTATGATTCTAGATTTCCCAAATCAGGGCTGGTTCAGTGGATTCAGGGTTGGGCAAACCCTAGACCCCAAACGCAGGGTTGTTTCGGCTTTCAGACTAAGGAACCCCCAAAATAGTCTAGGCCGATGTATTATAGCACCCTTAAAGTAACCCTTACAGAGCCCTTTAAATGAACCCTGTTCTAACTATTAGCAGGTATATACCCTTAATATAGCTATTATATACCCATATATAGCCCATTATAGGGTAGGGGTCCCCAGTAGGGGTCCCTCCTTCTCCAATTTGACATTAGCAGCCGAGGGTTGGGGGCCCGATGGCTCTACACGAGCAAGGCGGAGTTGTCCGAAGACCTAAACCTAGGGTCCAGGGTTTAGGGTTTAGGGTTTAGGGTCCAGGGTTTAGGGTTTAGGGTTTAGGGTTTAGGGTCCAGGGTTTAGGGTTTAGGGTTTAGGGTTTAGGGTATATACTACCATTATGGAATTAGGTCCCCAAAGCCATGATAGGGATGGTCTTCTGGGACTTATGTAATTCCATAATGGTAGTATCTATGGACCCTCTGGGAAACTGCTTCGAAGCTCCAACTTCAGGCCTCGAAGTAGGCCCGAAAGGAACCTAAACCCTAACACCTAAAAACCCCGAACCCTAAACCCTAAAAGCCCGAACCCTAAACCCTAAACCCTAAAAACCCCGAACCCATGAACCCTAAACCCTTCAAGTAGCCCTACAGTGCTAAAGGAACTCACGTGTTCAGTCGACGCAGGCCCGGAAACTTCCTGCGCAGCCACAGCGTGCACGAGGTGTCTTACGGGCTTGTAAAGCTGCGTAATATAAGGGCCGATGATAATCACCTATACTATTTCGGTGGTTTGTTATCATAGTTGTAGTATAATGGGCCCCAAAACCCTATTCTAATTTTGAAGGCCTATATTATAGTACCATGAAAGTATCCCTTATCGTAGCCCTTATAGACCCTGTTAAAGGAACCTTATTCCAATTATTAGGGGCCCTATGTGTTATTTGGTATGAGTTTCCGGCATTCATGGACATATGCTGGCCTGAGCCTGTAACCCGCAAAGCCGAATTGACACAACCCTAAACCCTAAGCCCTAAACCCTAAACCGTGGCTCTGCACCGAAGCCCAAAGTTGCAATTGTCTGGTGCTTAGTAGGGGGATGGGTGAATGGGTTACAGGGGCCATTATTGGGGATTATATCGGGACTAGTATCCATTCCCGCATTCCCTACTAAGAACCAGACAGACAAAACCTTGTTAATGTGAACGGCTCTTCAGTGCAAGCTTCAGGGTTCAAGTATTTGGGGTTGAAAGTATCAGGCACTTGGAGGTTTGAGGCCTGGGATAAGGCTTCCAGACTTGGCGGTTTGGTTTAGGGCTTTGGGGTTGAGCACCGTTGGTTTCGGATTTAGGTTTTGACAGTTCTATCTTGAAGGACTGAGTATGGTTAGAATGCGAGTAGGTTTCGCGAGTACTGATATTCATCATCGCCATCGTTGTGTGTACAGTATTGTTGTAGTTCATGCTTTGTTTACTATCTACCAGGAATCTATATTGCATACTAGATACTGACCGAGAACGCTAACAATTACATACGTTGTGCTACGAATATACCCTATACTTTCCATATACTAGTTACGACTCTCACGTCTATTTTTGCCCTTGCTACAACTACTGCCGTCGGGTTACATTTGTTGATCTTTGCGACTAAACCCTGTACCCTGAATCCAAGACCCTATAAGCCCTAGACCCTAAACACCAAATTTGCTGGAGAAAAGGAGCGACAAAAAAAAAAAAAAAAAAAAAAAACACCAACTATTGAACCGATCGCTCGGACTTCTGCATGAAGGTCCAAGAACCGCAAGCTTCGGATAGCACGGAGCGGCCTTCCGTTACTCCAGGGTTCCTTTAAAGGAGCCCTAGAAAGGAAAAAGGGTTCGTGTCCATAAGAGTTACTATAGGGCTGAAGAACACCAATCGGCAACCGAAGCCCAACTCTTGGGTTGAGGAATCAATCATTCGGGGTTTAGGGTTTCAGGTTTTCGATTCAGGGTTACACTTTAGGGGCTTTGGGTATAGAGTTTCCGAACTCCTCTACCCTTTACAACTCTTCATTCCTTAAATCATACTAAGACTTTCGATTTGGCTTAAGGTATATGCGCTGATCAAGGGCCAGAGACGCCCCCACCCTGCACACGAAACCCTGAATCCCAGCCCTACATACTAAACACAAAACCCACACCGTGCCTACACCCTATAGACCCACAACCCGCTAATCCCAAAGCCGAATCCCAACCCCTAATCTGAGTTTTTGTCAAGGTATGTAGTTTAAGTTACCATAACACGGCTCTATAGTTAATAAACGGTTTCCTTATTATGGTAACTTAAATTCAACTTCTTAAACAAGAACCCAGTAAGCCTAATAGACCACTCAAGGCCTACCCCTAAAACCCCAAAGCAAAACCCTACGAAACCCTTATCGGGCCCTTATCGAGACCCTAAAAAAACCCTGCTTTTCCCACTCTTTGGCCCTGAGCCGAAACCTGCAGATGCTCGCCCGAAGACGCAGACGAAGACGCAGACGAAGCTGCCATCTTCCCTGAGGCAGAGTGGCGTTCAGGGTTTAGGGCGCTTAGGGGTTCGGGGGTTAGTGGTTTGGGGCTTCAGGGTTTAGGGTTTAGGGTTTGGAGTTAAGGAGATGTTTGTGTCTAGGGTTTGGAGTTTTGGACCAGCTTAAGTTGTCTATGACAGGTTTGTTTTGCCTGGGCGTTTTGTCATGAGGCGGTTTTGGGGTGGGCATACCTAGCTTGGCAGGTCCAAACCATGAAGGTAGTTCTCCTTTTTGGGGGAGGGTCATCAATGTGTCTGTTAGACTATATTAGACGACGCTAACCATGAATTCAGGCATCCTGCTGTAAGCTGGCATCCGGGTTTTTGGCGTTCCTGAGTCCGAAGTGCCGTCCAGGCTTTAGGGTTTGAACGTGTTTGAGGTTCAGGATTACCCCGGCTAGCGGGCAGTGCACTGAAGCCACGTCCACATGCTCATTGGATGCTTGGGTCAGCCACGCACCCCAAACCCCAAGCCCAAAATCAGTTTTACGTTGGAGTGATGTACTCAGAGGAGCATGGATTGAAGCCTGCAGTGCTTGAACACCAGCACTATGCCCTCCCCAACACCGCGGGTGCCTCTGTAGCTTAACCTCCCTGCTTGGGCCGTAAATGAGTTCGGCACTCACATGATAAAGACTCGACAGGGGACCCGAATCTGCGGAACTACCCTCATAATTCGACAAACCCCTGAGAACACCCGGAAAAGGAACCTGAATGTAGAGACCTACATGACAGGCTCCCGTTGTTTTTCGATGCCAATGCGAGCCCTCCACCACTGCCGGCCGGCTCCGAGTACTGCGCGTCTTGACGTTTGAGCCTTTACCTATAGTCTCCATTGTAGTTCCTTGTTCTGTTTAACCAGTTTTATGGATAGGAACCTATAGTAGAGATGTTGGATAGCCAAGAAAAGGAACTACAATGGAGACTATATAGGTGTTGTGGTGTCAGGGCTATGACTTGTTTGTGCTTATTTGTGGTTGAGTGGTTGTTGTGATTGAGGGTTTGGTCTGTGGTCTGAATGTAAGCCAAGCGTTAAATGGCAGGGAAGTGTTTGACACAGTGTGGCATAAATTGCATAATGTAGTTTGTGTGTGTTTAGGTTTTGGGATGTTTGAGATTCGAGTCTTGCGAACCCAACGACCGTGCGTGCCGATGCCCCATAGCTTGAAAGCCATTTTCGCAAGTCAAGCATTGCTCGTCTGTGGTTACGTGAACCTCTATACCCTAAACTCTAAACTCCTAAACCCCTATACCCTAAACTCTAACCCTAAACTCCTAAACCCCTATACCCTGAACTCTCACCCTAAACTCCTCAGCCCTTTTCCCGAAACTCTAACCCTAAACCCTAAACCCCTGTACCCTAAACTCTAAACTCCTAAACCCCTATACCCTAAACTCTAACCCTAAACTCCTCAGCCCTTTTCCCGAAACTCTAACCCTAAACCCTAACCCTAAACCCTATAAACCCTAAACCCCCTATATCCTAAACTCTAAACCCCAAGCCCTGAGGATGAATCTCTGAAGATTCGAATTCCTAGAACTTCCACTGTAACCTGCCCTAGACCTTGTAAACCCCGAGTTTAGGGTTTAGGCGTTTAGGGTTTAGGGTTAAGCCACAGCCATGTTTTTGTTCAACACCTGGGACGCCCATCTGGAGGCATGGATTGCCTTCCCATGCTTGTTGCTCTGCACCCTGCAGAAACTCTCTGCGGCATTCGCATATCTTGGCCAGGCGGTGGCAGTGGCCGCAGGGAGCAGGTCCTGCACAATTTGGGACTCCCTGACTACGTCTCAGACCTATTTCGCAGCGAGGCTCCAGACGTGGGAGCTGTAAGTCCCATGCAGTAAGGCCCACAAGGTGGCTTAGGGCTTAGGACCAACATGCCTTGCACAGGATCCGCGGGCGGCCCATTGCTTGGATGTGGCTGCGCGTTGGAAAGGGTTGAGTCGCGAGGCGAGCCCTCCTCAACCTCCGATGCCTTCACGATCCATGACCCCCGCCCTCTCATACGCCAAAGAATTTCGTGCGCTGACATGTAAGTCCTGCTTAGTCCGCCGTCTGGGGGTTCAAGCGAAAGGGTTGGAGCTGCATGCGATGGCCGGGTAACTGACAAACAGTTTTGATGTTTTGCGGGCAACGCAGAACCATTGGGCCCATTGTCATGTGCACAGCTCAGGAATAGTGTTGATAGTCCGGTCAAATTAGCCTCATGTGTTGTGTGATTGTAGTTTGCAGACGAATACAATCTGAATTCTTGAGATGTAGAGATCGAAACACGCTTCATGGTTTTAGGTTTTAGCGTTTCAGATTCAGTGCGCAGGGTTAAACCGAATAACCGCTAGACCTGACTGCCTGACCCGAAAACTCAAAAGATTGGTTTAAGTTGTATAGGTGTTTAGGGGTTCAGGGTTTTGGGGCCCGTACAAGGTTTAAGCAAGGGGGTTCGAGCAACGCCCAACTTGCACAGAGGCGTACTTCGAACATGCCCTGCTGACTGTAACTTGGCTTATCTTGGCTGGTGACGGCCCATCACACCCTAGCCTTTAGACTATCGGACCCATAATCCCTAAACTCTACACCCCTAAACCCGTAAATCCCCACACCTCAAGCCCGCAGCCCCCGGACCCTTCACCGTGGACCGTCAATCTCAGTGCATGGATCGAAAATGACAATATAGGGGGCCTGAATAATTACTATACTATGTTGGGGGTTCCTTTTTATAATTATAGCATAACAAGCCCCGAAACCTCATTCGTCTTATTCAGGCCCTTATATCATAGTAACCTTTCTAGTAACCCTTATGGACCCCTTTAAAGGAACCCTGTTCTAATTATTAAGGCCCCTGCTTTAGGAAGTTTCGGAGCTGTGCATCGACAACAGAACATGGGCACAGGAACACATCAGCGGTTTCAGGCATATCGGCCTCAGAGCAATCGGCGTTTAGGTGTAGTGTTTAGTTTGGGTTTGTTGGTTTGGACCTAGGGATACTTAGGGTGTTACCATGCTTTCAGGGTTCGAGTCATATTAGAGTTCCCGTCTAGTTAGTGGTTCGGGTTTACGATAAAGTGCTTGGGATTGCAAATCGTGTGTTGAGCCTTCAGGGTTAGGGTGTGAGGGTTTAGGGTTCAGGGTTTGAGGGTTGGGCACAAGTTGTGCTTGTCTGGGTTGCCCTTTGGGATAATTGTCAGTTTCCTTTGGTTCCTTACAAATGGAAACTATTCATAAATATTTTTCAATTGGTTTAAGGCACAACCCAGTTGTTTGTGCTTGGATGACATGACGACGCAGAGCACGCGGGGAACAAACACTTTCAGAGTACTAGGCCCAGCATAACCTTCGGGGTCCGCATGGGGAATGGCTAAGAGCGCCAAGTATTCAGTAGTTAATTAAGCATATTTCTGAAATCACCATGCGAAGACATCCGTCAACTTAGATTCAGGATTCAGGACCCGTCCACATGTCAAGCAGGGTTCTTCAATCAAGGGCGCACAGCGGGCTCCCCCGTTGCATTGATTTAAAATGCCATAAAAGGGTACGTCGGAAATTAGATTCAAAAGCTTTTCATATGTGTCCATATGATGGTAACATCACCTAGTCCGGTGATTCAGAATACAGATGAAGGTCAATGAAGGTCCCATAAGTTGCATATCAGCTCCATAAAACCCGGAATCCTTATGGGATCAAGGTAGGCAGTACCTCGACGTTGCAGACTCTTAGCGTGTATGTGGGAACTAGCGTTTTGTGCCAAGGGTACGCAGCCTGGCTTTAGGACTTTAACTGTTGGGGTTTCTAGATCAATTATAAGAAGGAGTCGAAAAGCTTAACTTTTAGGATGGGTTCAGAAGTCATCCATGCAGCTTAATTAACAACAACCCTCTACAAATTTTGCAAAGGCCCCACCCCTAAAAACCAGAAGCAACACTTTGTTGAATTTGTCTAAAAGTCTTTACAAGCCTCTGTTCCCTCACAGAGAAAACCTTCAAAACCGAACTTCAACAATGCCCCAAGACATCAACCCTGTCTCGTTCACCAAGCAAGACACCCTGAAGCCCGAAGCCTCTTTGCTGGCTCAGGAGATGCAACGCAGGCTTGGCCAGCTAAGTGCGGCTTGGAAGCGCTCCGCCCAGGAGGCGCAAATTGCATCTTTCCGCCACGGAGACGTGTCATGAAGGGGTTCGGGCTTAGGAGTTCATGGGTGGTTGTCAAAATTAGGGTCCCTTTTTGGGTACCCTAAATATTAGGTGCCGTATTGTATTGAGGACCCAGAAAGAAACCCTAATTTTGACAACCACCTTCATGTTTCCTAAACCCTAAACCATGCATCCGCGCAATCCTCTTTGATTAACTAGTAACTAGGGGGTGTAGGGCACTGCTTGGCTTTGGGCAGTTTGATGGTTGAGTAAAAAGGCGGAGAACTGTTAGATTGTGGCTTTGCCAGGACCTGATGGCTCTTGATTGCATATTCTGTCCACACTGAGCTTAAACTCTGCCTTTACCATGACCTGGTTTAAGGGTTTAGGGTACGGGGCTTAGGGTTTAGGGTTTAGGATGTGGTAGAAGCTATCTAGCCACACATTTGGGTATATAGACAAGCCCGGTGTTCGAAGGAGAGAGATTCACGGCTCTGCTGATTTGTTTTCGTTGGGCAGCGGCAGTTGAGGAGAGTTTCGGATTATGATCTTGGAAGGGTTGAGATTTGAACATTGTGGACCGTGGGGTCTATTCCTTCAGGCCAAACCTGTCACCCCTAATTTTAGGGTCCAGAGCTTTAGGATCTAGGACTGTGGTTTGCGAGTCTTTGACAAACGGATGCCGATACCACGTATTCACAGAGCAGGCTGCGTGCGAGAGCAATTCCCATGCACCCCAAAGCCCAAAGCTTAAAACCTAAACCCCTCAACCCCCTAAGCCCCTGAACCCTTAAACTCTAAACCCTAAACCATGAGCCCTAAGTGGAGAAGCAAGTCCGGTCAGAGGGTTTGCTAGCTCGGACAGTACACGGTGCCCGATAATTTGAAGAGATGATGGGCTTGGAGGAGGATCTCTCCACTTACAACGGATCACGACACTGGTTTAGGGTTGTGGTGTTGAGGCTTTAGGGGTTGCTATGGTTGTTTAAAGTTCGCTATGGTCATGTAGGAGAGACCGTGTAGTACCCGACTCCATGGGCACATCAGTTACCAAAAACTCGGAAAATCGTTGAGTTTCTGGAGGACTCCTTCATTGCGCGCCCTATCATCCCCTCAAGACCCAGACAGCCCACCATAATTTTAAAAGAGTGAGAAGCCCTTGCGGTGCAGATCGTTGGGCGCTCGTTAGGGTTTTCAGTGTTATTACTACTACGGCTGCCATTATCTCGTCCCATCAATTACCATTACGATTCCCATCACTATTACTATGGCTACTGTTTCCCTTACCACCGCGACTATTACTGTTGCTTCTACTTTGACTATGGTTACGATTGCTATGACTGTTGCTTAACCCAGGGGCAGTGGGCTCCTCGAAGTCGATAATGTAGGGGCCTAAACCATTTCTAAAACTTACTATTTTGGGGGGGCTCCGTTTTTGTATTGATAGCATAATGGGCCCCGAAACTCTATTCTAACAACTAAGGCCGCTATTGGAATCTAAGAGTGTCCTTGCATCCTCTCCGTGCCAGGGAGAGCTGTCGTTGGCCGTGTCACGTGGCAGCAGTGCAGCCAAGAATATGCCCTTGCCGACCTGATTTCACCACAATACATACATACATACATACATACATATATATATATATGTATATATGTATATATATATATATATATATGTATATATGTATATACCCCGAACCAACGGGCCAAAGTAGGGCTCGTGTGATACACGATGGCTTTTGTGGTGGCTTGCAGCACTGCCGGGGTGTGAGTCCCTCTAAGTTTGAGTCCAGGGTTGACCCCGAAGCCTCGATCCCTGATCTCCCCAAACTCCCTCGAGGCTATCTCCAGCTCTATCCAGAAGCTTGAGGAAAAATTTGAAACAAAGCGCCCGAAGAGAAGTCGCCATCCACCTGCCAAGGAAGGGCGCTCGAATGGGTCGGGCCAAGGCTCGGCAGTTGATTTGGGGCTAACCCTAAGGCTCCATGAACCCATATAGTATATACTTAGGTCTTAAAGTACCTATATAGGGACCCCTTTAAGGCTTGAGTAATTGCTATACAGGTACATGGAGCCTTTGGCTAAGGGGCGAGTGCATGATGTAGCGGCTGGAGCAGTTAGTATATACTACCCATACCCCCTCATACAGTCCCTCATACGATATTTATCGTATTATATCCCGCTGAAGCCTGTTCTAACTATTCCAGGCTCCTGTATTATGTAGGTTTGTGTTGGTGTGCATTGTCCTTGGGGTCTCCAAGGTTGCCTGCAACAGGCTGAGGGTTTAGGGTTCTGTAGACTTTCTAGGCTGTACTACACTACGCTATACTTTGTCTTTTCCTGTTCCACTATATCCTCTGTTTACTATATTATACTATGCTATAGTAGAGCAGTACAAAGAAGCAAGCTTGCATCTAGGGGCGACCCATCGAGTTCTGGGCTCCAGTCTGGCTTCTAATTGTTGCTTTAGGGCTAGGAGGCCTCGGTGATTACTGTGGCTGTAGCTGCTATGGGTGGTGCAGAGTTTCCGCTGATCAATAAAATGAAAGTTCAGAAAACAAGAGGACCTTATAGATCGTAAAAGCTGGGACCTTGAACTACAAAGCATACCTTAGATGAGACTTTGGGGCAGCACAGTCATCCCAGTGCAAAGGAGGACCCCAATGCTGTGGCGCTGATCTTGGGGCGAAGCCCCTCCGTGCTCCAAGGCGCGGGAGAGAGCCCTCAGCCGAAGAGCCCAGTCACCTACAGAGTGGAGTAGTAATTTTTGGATGGCACATGGGCTGTACAAGGTTGAAGGGGCTGAAACCCTCTTAGCTGCACGCACGCACACACACAGATATATCTATATATATATATATATGTAGTTGTACATATTACACATGTATACGGATTATACGGACGTTTGTCATGCACATGAGGTTGGGTTCGAAGTTTGTAGCCAGATTGTGGGGGGGGTGCCGGTTGGGGTTCAGGGCTCTCTTCACCTGGAGTTGCAACCAGCGCGACTGGCAATCGCCCTGAGCAAGTTGACCCTTGTTTCGGAGTTCTGGAAATCTTACCTGGGCCCTGAAGAACCTACCCGTTTACGGCTCCATACTATGACTATGATTTCCTTTGCTCAGGTCTTTGACAAGGTACCAGACCCTAAACCCCCAAACCCTAAACCCCTAAACCCTAAACCCCTAAACCTCTAAACCCTAAACCCCCAAAGCTCTAGTCCTAAGACCTCCCAATGAGGAGTTATCGGGTAGGGTCTCTGGCTCGGGTCCATCCTAGGGTTTGGGGTTTCGGGTTTATAAAGGGTTTATAATTTAAGGTTTAGGGTTCAGGGTTTAGGGTTTCGGGTTTAGGGTTTAGAAAGGGTTCAGGGTTTAAGGTTTAGGGTTCAGCGTTTAGGGTTTAGGGTTTTACTGTTGCCATATTAGCATCCCTGGGCCAAAGGGTCGTCGAAGTGACGGCAGCTACCGGCACCTCTACACCGAGAAGACCTTGGGAGTACATATACTGGCCCCGGCGGTCGGAGCAATTGGGGCTTACCCTCAGCCTGACACTTGATGTTGTTGGCAGTAGCTACCCTTGAACTTACAACCCGTATCCGTACTACAACTTATGGCGTCCACTTGCCCCTCCAGCGAAGCGACAACTCAATTCCGAGAGTTCCGAGCCTAATCATGATGATCAGGATGTAGCAATAGGTTTGATTACAGTCCCTATAACTGAAACCCTCCCTGTGGCACAGTCAAAAGTAGCTTGCTCTTAAGCCTTTCAAATTATGTACCTCGCGGTTTAAACTCTACAACCCCGAACTTTGAAGCTCAAAATGCTCAATCCTCAGCAACAGGAGATGTCAAAGCTTGCGCGAAGAATGACCTTTGGTGCCCTGCTTGCATCAGTTGTGGCTGCTGGGGTCACCAACCACCCGTATCCCTGATGAGGACTAGAATCAGCCGCTTGCGTTAAGTGTTTGTGAGTGATGACTTCTAGAGTTTTGATGAATTCATTCGTGGCAGCTCCCTTCAACTGAGACTCCAATTTTGTGCAACAAAGACTGGATGTGATCCAACGAGCCAGCTTGACCAAGTCCTAAACCCCTAGGCCATAAACTGCCCTTTAAGGTCTTGTGGTTGTGTGTTGGATTTGGGAGTTTCCGAAAATAGGGGACCCTAATATAGCACCCTAAATAGTAGGATCCTATTATAAGGAGCCCCAAGATAAGGTACCCCCAATTTCGGAAACTCCCATTTGAGGCTCAGGATTCCTCCCAGAGACTCCAATATCCCTTAATTGAGGAATATACCTTAAATTATAGTAGGATCCTTAATATGATTTAGGGAATATTCCCTAATTAAGGGGTATTGGAGTCTCTGGGCTTTCTGTCTGGGGCATTTTCTGGAGCTTCAAGGCGAGTCTGGAAAAGTTTGTAATTATGGCTCGTCGCCTCATCTTCATTCAGATGCTATTCTGCATAAGGGTATATAGTATGCTATTTTATAATCGGATGCGATAGATGAGATTGAACAGAGCAGAAAAGAATAGATTATGAAAAGATAGAGGAGGATAGAACAGACTCGATCTAGTATAGTATAGTTGTGGATCGTCCTCCGAAAAGCACAAAACGCAAGATCCGATTTTGCACGTCGCCCGGTTTCACGGTTGCGAGTCTGGAGTTGCTCTGGGCTTTGTATTGAGAGTGACTCGGCTTGCTTTCGATTCCCTATGAGTCCAAGTACCCAATTAGTATATACATTGGCCTGAAAGTACTCCCTACACAAGTACATTGCGCCTATACTGTTTGGGTACCTGGACCCTTATACCCTGTAGAACCTATAGAACCCTTTAAAGGAACCCTTTAAATCAATCAGGCACCCTTAAAGGAACCCTATATGGGTACCATGGACCCTTAGGGATTGCGAGCGTTTGAGGATTATTTTGATGAACCAGTCCTCGCCGCTGCTGCTGCGCTCCGCTTGGAAGGGCGACGCCAGGCTGCAAAGCATGGAGGGTTGAGAGTTTGGGCTTTAGGGTTTAGGGGCTGCAAACCATGGTCAACGGAGCCAAACCTCAGTGGCACTCCGCAAAGGGTTCCGTTCATCTAAGGGTCCCCATAAAGGGGCTATAAGGGCTCTCATGATTTCAGGGGTCATGGGCTTTTTCAAACCGGGAAGCCTCGGTAGTCCTTCAAGACGCCTGAGCTAAAGCGTCGCGTGGCGGCATCCCTTCGGAAGCTCCATCGGATGATTAGGGTTTAGGGTTTAGGGTTTTGGGTTTAGGGTTTAGGGTCCATCGGTTGATCGTCAAACATCGTGGGCTTTCCTATCTGGTAGGTGTCTTGAAACAGAGCACCACGAAGAACCATCCGACAGTTTGCCTGGCCAAAAACGAGGGGTTTTGATGATTCCTATGTAACCCTCGGGAGTCCACAGAATGTCAAGCTGCTACGTATCAGGTTCCCAAGTTCGTGTCAGCTTAGTTGGGCGGGCCGGCTGCTCATCGCAACCTCAAGGAAGTGCTTTTAGTCCGTGCATCTCTTTGGGGTGCTTTTATGAGGAAAGTACCCTAAACCCTAAATCCTAAAGTAACAATCAAGTAACAATCTTGGCTACTTCATGCACATCGGATCCCTTGTTTGACAATACCCCCACCCACCCACCCACCCACCCCCGAATACGGTTTCTTGTATCGATGCCGTAAGTACAGCCCTTAAGGAATGGATGTTGGAAGGACCCCCAGACTGTCTAATCCCTGAAAGAGCCCCTCAACCTTAAACCCTAGAACCCTAAGCTTCATTGAACCGTAAACCCTACGTTGAGAACAGCCCCCAGGTGAACCCCAGTGGCCGCCTTCTTTGCACAGCCGTCAACGAAGCAGCCGCCTCGTGGCTGGAGACCTGCAACAGCAGGCCTGGTTTCTCTGGGTTTTTTGTGGTATCCTTAAGAATTGTTGCTATTTTTGTTCATATAGCGAAGATGGAAAATCTTTTTATTATGGTTTCAAGTAAGGTTGTTGAGAGTTCAAGCGAAATTACCAGAACAAGGAAGCCCTGTTAATTTAGCCAGATTTAGTCTAGAGCCAAATTATGCTAGCCTAGGTTACGTACCGCAACAAGAACCCAGCTTTCCTGTAGGCCCATGAACCTTCTTGTTTAGGGTTTAGGGTTGAGGGCTCAGCCCCAAACCCTAAACCCCTAAGCCCTCAGCCTAAACCCCAAACCCCTAAACCCTAAACCCCTAAACCCTAAACCCTAAACCCTAGACCCTAAACCCTAAGCCCTAGGCTTGGGTTCAGGGTCTTTAGGGGTGTGGGAGGCTGCTGACGGTCACAGCACTGGCCTCCGGGGCCTTTGCCAGCGAGCTTCTGCAGGCCCGACATACGGCTGATGATATACAACCTGGGGTTCCTTTAAAGGGCTCCAATAAGGGGTTCCTTTCAGGGATCTATTTGGGGTTTAGGGATGTAAACCCCTGCAAATGCCCATAATAAGGAATAGATTAGAGTTACCACAGTTAAGGGTCTTTAAGGTAATGCAGGATTTATATCATCAGCCGCAAGGCTTCAGGGTTCTTTTAGGGGCTACCGAGAACACCACACGTGTTCGAGGAGCAAACTTCTTGGAGGCTATGGCCTGGGTTAGGGTTTAAAGGTTTGGGGATTAGGGCTTTACTTAGGGGTACTTAGAAATATTTTTTAACTTTTGGTTATTATACTCCCTAAGAAACAGCTAAAATTCTAATTTATGCTAGGGTTCTAAGGTCAGTATAGGTTTAAAGGTTTGGGGATTAATTAGGGCTTTAGGGGTTCAGGGTGCTTTTACTGTTTCGGGTTTTAGGCTTTTGGGGTAGAGGATTTGATAAAAACCCTGCGAGCTTTCGTAAAAAAGACAGTGGTTCAACATAGACCAAGCAGGCTCTATGAATGCCTTCTAGGATGCCCAGTAGTACCCTTATTCCCTTTTTGTAGTCCTAGGTTCCTTATAAAGTTACCCAATACCAAAAAGAGAGGCCTTTTTTTTCTTAGGTTACTGGGCATCCTAGCCTTCCTTGGGGTGTAGGGTTTGGGGTTTATGACCTTTCGGTGGTTTTGGGTTTAGGGTTTGAAATTCTGGCCCAGGGCTGCACAAGTCCAGAGGAAGTCTGTATGCAGGAAGCTCTGGAATGCAAATCCGAAACGGAAGCCTAAAACCTATAAGCCCCAAACCCTTGACAAACCCTAGAAACCCTAAACTCTATAAACCCCTAAACCCTAACCCTGAACCCTATAAATCCTAACCCTATAAACCCTAACCCTATAAACCCCTAAACCCTAACCCGAAACCCTAGGAGTCCTGAACCCTAGAAATCCTAAACCCTAACCCCAAACCCCAAAATCACAGGAGGCCCAAAGGGTTTTTGCCTATGGGGGTTCAGTAGGGATTGGGGTTCCCAAAATAGGGTTCATATAAATAAGGAATCCCTACCCCAAGAATCTTAAATCCCCTTTTGGCCTCCCATCGTAGGAAACCTTAAAACTTTAACCCCTAAACCCTAAAACCCTAAAGCCCTAAACCCAAAGCCCCAATGCCCAAAATCCCATCACTGCCATCTCCTATAGATCCTTTAAAGGAACCCCCTTAAAGGTACCCTCAATAGAGCCCTTTAAATGTACAAAACCCGCAGGCCCGATCCAAACAAGCGCAGGACTTCTGGCAGCTCCAAAGCTCGGGATCTGAGGCCCAAGTCCCAAAAAGAGGTTCGAAGCTCCAAAACCCGAAGCCCTGTACTATAGGGGCCTGAAGAATTACCTATACTATTTGGGGGGGAGGTCCGTATTATGCTTATGTTATTATGGGCCCCAAAACCCTAGTCGAACTCGTATAACTTATAGCCCCTTAAGGCCCCAGACTATAGAGTCCCTCCTCAGCCCCTCAAGCCCATACAAACCCCGTAGAAATCCTAAAACCTAAAACCCTAAACCCTAAGGCCCTTAAAGCCTAAACCCTAAAACCCCTACTTGGAGGGTCGGGGGACTTAGTAAGTAGGTAGTAAGTAGACTTACAAGTACCTTAAAAGGGACCCTACTTGGGGTTATGGCACCTATAAGTCCCTAAAATAACTAGTTACTAAGTCCCCCGACCCTCCAAGTAAATAAACCCTAAACCCTAAACCCTAAAACCCCTAAACCCTAAACCTGCGGTAAAACCAGATCGAAGCTCTACGGTGTCTTCGCAACGAGCCGGCAGAAAGCGCTTGCCAAGGCGTTGCATGTTGTGGTTCATGCGGGTGGTTGTCAAAATTAGGGTCCCTTTTCGGGTACCCTAAATACTAGGTGCCGTACTCTAATAGGGAACCAAAAAGGGGCCATAACATGGACAACCATCCATGTGGGTTTAGGGCTTAAGGCTTGAGTTTTGGGGGTTCATGGCTTAGTTTAGTGTTGGGGTTCATGGGTTTGTGTAGGGTTGGGGTTCATGGGTTTTGGGTTCAGGGTTTTGTTCTGTTGGGTCTCGAGTTTGCGGCGTAGTAGTGCAGAGGTCCATCTGACACTTTTGAAGCCCCAGGCCCTACAGAACCTAGGCTGATTAGCTATACCAGGCAAGTAGTGGTCACTTGGAGCCACTCAGACACAGGCCTCCAAAACCGTAGCTTCGTGAATCGGATGGGATGCACCGCCTTGTCTGGCTTGTCGATGCACCCCCTTGGAATTAGGTTACATGGATTTCGGACTCTTTTTGCTAGCTTAGGGTCTTCCCTTCTCTTTTGCCTCAGATAAAGAAACAATGCTTTTCTTGAAAAGAATTCAGGTTTTGTATATGGATCCAAGGCTTTCGCTGTTGCGGCTTTGTATGTGGATCCAAGGCTTTCGCTGGTGCGAAACCCCTAATTAAACCCTAAGCCTGTGGCTATATGGCCAGGGTTTCTTAATCAGCTTGCTGCGAAGGGCGTTTAGCCCTGGCAAGACATGTAGTATCCTTAAGGGAGGGGGGTATATAGCCTAGTGAAATCCTCCCTAGTACTCCCTAAGGTTCCCTTACAGTCCCCTAAGGATTCCTTATACCCTCCCCCCTTGAACCACCCTCTTAAGGATCCTATAAAAAACATGCCAACTTGGGCTTCAGGGCTTTTGGACTCTGGGCTCCGCGGCAGGGTCCTTCGGCAGTTTAAAGTTCAACAGCTCAGGGCTCAGTAGCGGATTAGAGCTTCAGACTCAGTTTGAAGCTCAGGGCTTAGGGCTTCTGAGTCAGTATTCGAACCCTAAGCCCACAAGCCCCGAAGCATTTACAGTAAAGCCCAAGCTCAAAACGGTAACTTGGACAGAGTGGCGCTTCGGCACTGCAAAACACGATGAGCAACATCAATTTCGACTCCCAGGCCAAGGAACACTGAAGCTTTGGTTTAGGGTTTATGGGTTAGTGTTTAGGCTTTACCTATGTCCTATACCTCAAGGGAACTAAAGGTTAACCTTTGGGATTATAACCCCAAAGAAGGTCGAAGGTGAGCTACTGCACTAATTACTAAGCTTTACGAACCCCCAAACCTCATTCGTTAAACTTCTCAGAACCCATAAAGTCCTTAAACGCAATGCCCTGAATCCAGAATTTGTCCCGGTTGGACCCCCTCCCCCAAAAACCCCCTAAGCATTGCATAGTCAGGTGATTTGGCTTACGCAAGACTCCTTGGCGCTTTGCCGACTGTGGCGTGGCCCTGACTGTGGAGTCAAAAGTCTAAACAACAACAGCTCCTGGGTTTCATCACCCTCAGCCGTCATATCAAACCACTTGGTAGCTTTCCATAACACCCGAAACCGTTAAACCCTTGCATTAAAAGCCGCATTAAACCCTGGAAAGGGCATGGTGTACCGCAAGTTATTGCCTCATGTTCTGTATGCTTTCCATGGATGCCCCTCGCGCAAGATTGGACCGATCAACATCACAGCCTGGCGGTAGGCTCGAGGGGAGGGGGTGAAGGGGGCCTCAGTGGCGGGCGAGGGCGGCGGAAAGTGGGGCCGGGCAGGGTCTTGATCTTCTTCATTTCCCTGATTCCTAAACTGCTAGTTGAAGCACGACATTTATTTTGTTTGAGCACAAGCTACCCCGGGAATCCCGCTAGTACTGAAGGAGGCCGTTTTCACCGAGTCCTGGTGGTATGTCCGTGGCGACCTGGGGTCCCTGGTGGTCTCTGGGTTTTCGTCGTCCTCTGATGGATCCTGGTGGTCCTCGTGGATGTGGTTGATATTGGGGTTGAAAGAATTACCTGTACTATTTCGGGGGTTCCTTCTCATAATTATGGTGGAATATACCCCCAAAACCCTATTCTAATGATTAACGTCCCTAGATTTAGGTCGGCGTGGTACCAGGCTAAGACTCTCTTTTCTAATTACGGTTGATGATATAAATCCTGCATTACCCACAATAACAATACCATAATTCCCATAGTTTAGGGTTCTTAAGGTAATGCAGGATTTATATCATCAACCGTAGCACCTAGGCACCATGCTCTCCGCCGAAAGTGGAGTCCGAGCCCACGCAGGAGGTGTCGACATCTGATACCTGCGAGTTATCTTGTTGGGTTGAGAACTGTAGGAGTCTGAGTTTACCCCATACGGAACGAAATTCAGTTAACGATTCAACGATGAATTGTGGATCCAGGTTTGGCGGCTTGGGGTTTCGTCCTAGATGACGAGGAGTGGGAGGCAACGAGGCCTGAACAGAACAACTGCCAACTTGCAAAGCACAAAGTATGCGTGGTTTGACATACCTTCAAACATGGCGACCACCAGTTTTGTTTGCCTCTTGAGCCATTGTGAGAGACGCCCTAAATTCAGCTTGAGGGTATGGGTTTTCCCCTGAGGCATGGAACATGGGAGCTGCAATGACTAACAGCATCACTAGCATCGCTCCGCTTGCACATCCTTCGAAGCATGTTGCTTCTTGTGTGAGCTGCCGTACTGTACGGGACTAAGAACTATGTTTGGTGCCCTGGTGTCATCGTTCCGTACTCCGAATCCGTATTCAGGTATCCATGGTCGGATTTCATCGAACCTTCTCCCTAAACCCTAAATCCTAAACGCTAAACCCCTAAACATCTGCAGCCTCAGCAGGATTCAAGCTCAGGGCGAAGTTAGGGCCCGGGTTCAGGGTGGGTATCTTACGGGATGAGGTTCTGGAAGTTAGGGGTTCAAGGGTTTGGGGGGTTTAGAGTTCAGGCTTTAGGCTGACCATCATCATCATCATCGTCACCATCATGATCATCATGGTGTGGAAGAAGAACGAATCATAGTTTCAAGAATCAGCAGACTGTGAAAGTTCTCCAACTAGCGAGACACCCTGACACGATGGCAGCATTGGTATAGTTGGAGTAGTGTCGACAGTCTTTGTTAAGTGTCAAAGGAGTATGCAATGAGCCCCAAACCCAAAACCCATAAAACCCCCGCCCCCCCCCCCCCCGCCCAAAGCACCAACCCCAAACCAAGCACACCTCAACCCCAAACCCTTGGAAACAGCCCTCCCACTGCGAGCGCTTGCGACCCCGCAGTGTCCCCCCCAAGCATTCCCTCAATACCAGGGCCAAGAGCATGCTGATCTAAGCGCCGAGCAGCGCCAGGTGCCAGGGCAGTAGAGATTTAAAGTGGTATATAGATTATCGAACCTTACATGCATGAAGGAACCCTGGTAACCCTAGTATTTGGAATAGTAAAAGTTACATGCATGAAGGGACCCTAGAAAACAATGGAAGCTTCCAAAATGTGTTTTGGTGCTTTGGGTCTAAGGCTTTAGGTTCTGCGGCTTGGCAACTCCTAAACGCTTATCCCCTAACCCTTGAAGGCCCTACACCCAAAAAGCCTTGTTTTCGAGGTTTCGGGGCTCTTCACCTATTCCAATTATTAACATTAATAACAAACCCTGAACAAAGCCCTAAAGCACCAAACCCTAAGCCCCAAACCCTAAACCCTAAAGCGATGATTGGGGCACGGGCTCCAGGGTTTTTCCGTTGCAGCACGGTTTAGGTTTCGCGGATTGAGAGGATTTTCATTTTAGGGCCGTGCTCTGTCGGATGTATGCTTCAGGGTTTACGTTTCGGGCCGGCCTTCTAGTTCGGTTTAAGTTCAGGGTTTAGGGGTTCGGGGTTTAGGGGCTTCAGGTTTAGGGGTTTAGGGGTTTACGGGTTGGGGTTTAGCGTTTAGGGCTTCTCGGCCGTACTCTCACCGCGTAGCGAACAGATACCCCACGACCCACGACCCTGAACCCCACACCTTTGGATGCCCAACTCAACACCCTTCAGCCCCAGCTCAACCGAAAGCAATCCCAAACCCTAAGTTCGTTGACGTAGGCTTCCTTCAGATCTTGCAAGGTTGTCCGCCATCTGGCTGCCTGGGTTCATCCAGGACCACATAGGGTTTGGAGATGTATGGGTGCAAGTAGTGCATCAGAAACCCGGGTGAGTGTTTTCTAGTTTAGATAATCCGACCCAGCGGCGAGATCGGTTTCCGTTGTTCTTCATATTCTTCATTTCAGCTTCATGAGGCAGACGAGGCTCAGTTCATCGCGCTTTGACTCTTCTTTTGCGCAAGGCATGTAGAATCCCGCCATGGTTAAGCATGTTTGCTCGTTGTAATTTCTTTTCTCTGCGCTTGTATATGTGTCATGTTCATTCTTGAAGTCTTGGCAACGCTATAGCCAAACCTAGCTGTAGCACCTTCAGCCGATGTCCTGACTTCACACCTTGAAGCCGCGAGATGAACTAACGACCTCTTCTGTTTCGGGATTGGGTGTTGTTCCTTCTGAAACTCATTGCTGAGACTCCAACTTATACCTGATATAATTATGCCTGAAAGTCCCAAGGCCCTTATCCTCCACAAGAAGTGCTGCCTTTGCCGGCAGTTTTACGATGTAAACTTAGTTTCAGCACAGCACAACACAGCAAAACTGTTGGCCTTGCTACACGCTTTGCAAATGCAATACACATTCCACAGCCTGTCCAAGTCTCTAAATCAGGGCATTGCGGGCTGCTTTTTGGTCGCGCAGGCGGCATGCTACCTTTCGGGGGTAGTGCGAGCCCTTTGTTGTCCCAGAGGATAACCTTTAGTTGCCTTTGGCCGCTCAACAAGTAAAGTAGGCAAGCCTAATGAAACCCTAAGCTCTAATTATGATACCCGAAGCCAACATGTTTTGACCATTTAAAACAAGGTTTCAAGTATAGGGATTAGGTTCCTTTTTGATGATGGGAACCTCGATGCACGGAAGCGGTGACAAAAAATCGTAGTATGTCGTCGCAAAACATATATGGTAGAGCAAACTAGACCACAGGTGTATGTGTGCATACCTACCTACCTACATACCTACCAACCTACAGACATAAATCTACATACATAGCTATTATATAGATTATGTTATATATATATAAGAGAGATATTCATGTGTATAGGTCCGAAGTGTATTTGTCTGCATACCTGTATATGCAGGCGTACACACACACACACACGCACGCACGCACGCACGCACGCACGCACGCACACACACACACACACGCACGCACGCACGCACGCACGCACGCACGCACGCGCACGCACGCACGCACGCACGCACGCACGCACGCACGCACGCACGCACGCACGCACGCACGCACGCACGCACGCACGCACACACGCACACACGCACACACACACACACACACACACACACACACACACACACACACACACACACACACACACACACACACACACACACACACACACACACACACACACACACACACACACACATATATACACATATGTAGCGTGTCGGCCGCTGAATGTTTCCAGGGGTAAAAGGAGGGACCCTTAATAAGGACCCCTGGGTATATACCCTTAATATAGCCATTATATACCCATTATATAGCCCGTTATGGGGTAGGGGTCCCCATTAAGGGTCCCCTAAACCCTACCTTAACCCTGAATAACCTACCTCTTAGGGCTCCTTATACAAGTCCTTAAAAAGGTGGGATATTCCGGGTTTAGGGTTTAGGGTTTAGGGTTTAGGTAAACCCTACATCAACCGGTCCCTCCTTTTCCCCTTTGAATGTTGCGAGGAGGAGGCTCCAACAAGGTCCCGACGCTCCTGCGCGGAGTGTCTCCTGGGCTTCGGAGTAGCGTACTTTTTTGGTACCTGTTCCTTAAAGGAACCATTCTGAAATCAATGTCTTTACTTTGTTTGGTGCCTGTTCCTTAAAGGAGCCATTCTGAAATCAATGTCTATACTTTTTTTGGTACCTGTTACTTACCTATGTATGCATGTACCTCTTACTTAAGGGAACCATTCTGAAATAAAGTCTATACTGTTTTCTCCACCCTAAACCCTAAACCCTGGTTACTTCAAAGTCCAGGTTTGGCTCGGGGAAATCTCGGACGTTGGCGGCCGGAATCGTCTCGCTGGATAGGCCGTTTAGGGGGTTTAGGGCCTGGGATTTTGGGGGGTTTAGGGTTTACGGGGTTTAGGGTATACTGTATGGGGTTGAGGGACTGGGAATTTTGGGGTTTAGGGTTTATGGGGTCGAGGGCCTGGGAATGTTTGGGACGCACCAGAGGTCTTGCGGCCCAGGGGTCATGGCTTAGGGTTTTGGAGCCTTCCCAGAGTGGAAAGCATCACAAAGTTTAGAATCTGTGGAGAAAGGCCTGGTCACGGAGTTTCGGGTTTGGGAGTTTGGGAGGAGGGAGAGGGTGGCTGTCGGGATCATAGAGTATTTAGGGTTTCCGATGTAGGGTGTAGGGGTTTCGGGATGAAAGGCTCAGGGGTCAGGTTGTCAGGAGTTTGGGACATGCTGGTAGGAATAGTAGCGAAGCACAGAGGGAGCCGCCTCGTGGCCCTCCATCGTATGGGTTGCAGTGTGTAATACCTGGACCCCCAAAGTATGTAGAATAGAGCCTTTCTATAGATATTGGGCCATGATTTTACCTACTTTGGGGGTTTAGGTAGGGGTCGGCATAATTATAAACAGTATCCCCTGTAGAACCGTTAGGTACGTATGCGTAGTAACGCAGTATGCTTACCAGACTCCAAGACCACAGTCAAATCATTCAGGCCCCTGCCTTAGTCCAAGTTTGCTTGGATGGCGGACCCGACGAAACAGGCACATGAAGATGCTAAAGGGGGCGCCCAAACCGTCACTCAAGCATCTGAACCCTCACCCCCTTATCCATCCCTAAACCCTAAGACTGCTAAACCCTCAACCTTGTGCCCTAAACCCGATGACCCCAAGCCCTTAATAATTCGCCTTACTTAGTGATTACAGGAGCCCTGAAAGGAGCACATGACTTTGATAGCATCTCTTTATGACCCTGTTAGCAGGTGAACCCCAAACCCTAAACCCCCAAACCCTAAACCTAAACCCCTAAACTCCTAAACCCCCAACCACAAGCCCTAAAAACCCTAAACCCCTGAACCCCTAAACCCCTGAACCCCAAAAAACCCTAACCTAAACCCCTGACTGACCCCTAAACCCCATAGATCCTTTTAAAGGAACTATATATAGGACCCCTGTAAAGGAACCCCGAAGCGACCCCTCTAAAGGAACCCCTAAACCCCCCACAAGGCTTCTGCGTGCCCGGAGGGATCCTCGGAGGATTCTCCTGCTTTGCCAAACAAATGTGGCGGTGGACACCGTCCTTCACCACTTGCCCTTTCGTCCGAGTTGGGAATAGCCCCTTTATAGGGTTTAGAGGGTTTAGGGCCTGGGAATTGTTGGGGGTTTAAGGTTTAGGGTTTCCTTCACCACTTGCTTCCCGTCCGAGCTGGGATTTGGGGTCGTAGGGTTTAGGGTTTAGGGTTTGGGGTTCGAGTTGGGACTTGGGGACGTCCGATAGGGAATGGGGTTTAGGGTTTGGGGTTTGCTTCACCACTTGCTGCCCGTCCGAGTTGGGATTTGGGGTTAGGGGTGTGGGGTGTAGGAGTTTGCGGTTTAAGAGTTTGGGGTTTGGGGTTTCGGGTTTGCTTCACCACTTGCTGCCCGTCCGAGTTGGGACTACGGGTTAAGGGTTTGGGTGGGGTTTAGGAGTTTGGGGTTTAGGGTTTCGGGTTTGGGGTTTGCTTCACCACTTGCTGCCCGTCCGAGTTGAATAGCCCCTTTATAGATCTTATGGTCCTCGCAATACTTTCTACTGGTACCCCCTTGTAAGTCCCGATGATAATTGTGATATAATACGGTCCGGCCCGACTTTGAGACCACATCCCCTGAGAATCCCAGGCTACCTGAATCACGGGCTTCAGGTTTCCAATTTGTTCTGTTGGTTTAGGGTTTGGGGTTTTTGGATTTAGGAGTTTCCGAAAATAGGGGACCCTAATGTAGCACCGTAAATAGTACGATCCTTGTTCCAAGGGCCCCAAAATAAGGTACCCCTAACTTTCGGAAGCACCCATTTAGGGTTTGCTTAGTTTTTTAACCCACGCATCCGGCTACTTCAGCTTAGAGGTCGTTGAGTTGCAGTTTTGTGCTGGAGCTTCGGAAGTCGGGAGGGCATGGTGGCAAGTATGGGTTTATGCGTTTATATAGGGTGTAGGGTGCCGAAGACAAAGCTACGACGCAAGCCCGTTCCGGAGAGTTTTCGTATTCCGCCCTGCTTGAGCCCGCATAGGGTGCTTCGTTTACCAGGTTCCATGTTATTTTCAAGCAGGGTAGCTTGCACAATTCCAGATCTTCGGCTTGCAAAGCCTTGAGATTGGGGTGGCGAGAAAATCAACCTGAACCAAATCCCTGCACTCTACACTGAGTGATGGTTCTGTTGGGGTTTTGGGATTGTGTCGTGTTATCAACTTGTTCGTAGAAGCCGAGTAGGGAATTATGATAGAGGGGCCTTCATACTTACCAATATATTTCCTGTGGGCTCCATAACGTGACTATTCCTAGAATGTGCCCAGCAAAAAGACTTACTCTAGCCGTTCCTATTCTTCTTGTCATTATTAGTTGCTATTGGTACCATGATGATGATTATGGTATTATGATTTCTATGATTGTTAATCATGACTGTTAGTGTTATTAAGGCCCGCATACCACCCAAGCCTGAATCCACCTGTTTAGCCGGAGGTTCCAGGACGAGGATCCTGTGATTCACGATGATTCACAATACTTCTCTTAGGGGTACTTAGAAATAATTTTTGGTTATTATAATCCCTAAGAAACAGCTAAAATTACAATTTTTGCTAGGGTTCTAAGTTCACAATTCTTCTAGGCTGGGAATAAGTACTTACTGGCTGTAGACTCAACATTTAAACTTTTGGGGTTCTTTAAAGGTAGTCGGTTCTGAAAGTTTCAACTTTTATTTCCTTGGGTTTTGGGCCAGTGAGATTAGGGTTTAGGGGTTTGGGGTCAAGGGGTCAACGGATTTAGGGTTTAAGGACTTTCGGGCATACACAAGCCCTACCGGAATGAAGGCCTGGCCGTTTCTTGAGCTAGGGTGCTCTTCCCTTAAGTAATCCCTAGAGGAACAAACTGAAATCCATGAGGCTATCGCACTTTGGCTGGGACGACTTCGCTCGCCTGGGCAGCTTCCGTAGCGTCGATCCCGAGCTCCTTTATCGCACGGCTGCTTGGCCAAGCCTAGTTTTTGATGGACAAAATCCTGCATTACCCTTTATAAGGAATATACCATAGTTCCCACAGTTTAGAGTCCTTAGGGTCATGCAGGATTTTGTCCATCAATAGTAGTTTTTGATGCGCATGTGGGGTTGTTGGGGGTAGAAGTCTAGGATTTAGGGTTTAGGTGTCAGCGCTGTGGCTCTTATTTTAGGGCTTTTGTGGCTAGGCTGTTGTAAGGCTTCGAGTTTAGCGGGCGGCTTGGGGCTTCGAGGATTCGGAGCTTCAGGAGTCCGCAGTGGCGCACAGAGGCACGGCTGTTATCTCCCGACATAAAGTCGCTACAGAATCCTCAAAACCATCCGACCTTTCCCCAAACAGAACCCTGATTGCTCGAGCCCACTCCCTATCATGCCCAGCACCTTCATGTGTTCGTCTTGACGGTGTTTATGAACGCCCACTCTTTAGAGACTGCGTCGACGCACGACTGCCGTCCCTAACCACCTGAACGCTATAAGCCTCAAAAGCCCTAACTTCCCGAGAAAACTAATCCCCCAAAACACAAGCAATCCGTAACCTTATCCACCCCAGAAAAGAGTAAACCCCAACCCCTCCAAAAACGGAAGCCAGCCCAATCCCTAAAGCCTACACCTCACCTGAGAACCGCCCCAAAAAACCGGCACCCAAAACCCCCAAAGCCGCGAAGACCGCAAAACAAGGCTCCTCAAGACCCCCAAAAAAGGCCCTATCAAGAGTTGAACTAGGTATCGATTGGGAATTATTTTCCAAAAAATTCCCATGTTGTCATAATCTAGGGCGCTAGTGATAGTACGATTTGTTTTAATTTCCCTTTTTTGGTTGAATATTGGGAATTCCCCTTATTGCTTAGTATAGAGCCCTATGAATACATAATAAATCGACTTAAGGCAAAGACCCTAACCCCCTAAGACCCCCAAAAGCCTAAACCTTATACCCTAAACCCGAAACCCCCTAAGATGTCCGAAACCCTATACCCTAAACCCTAAACCCACTAAGATCCCCGAAACCTTAAACCCTATACCCTAAACCTTCTAAGACCCCCGAAACCCTATACCCCATACCCTAAACCCCCTAAGACCCCCGAAACCCTAAACCCTATACCCTAGAACCCTAAACCCCCTAAGACCCCATTAAAAATGAGGCTTTCGAACCCCAAGAGCTACGCAGGTGAGCCTCTTGTCCTCTCGACCGGCGGCAGCGAAGGACTGAGCCCTTGCCCTCTTTGGTTTTGGGGCTTTTTGGGAGGTGTCGCATATTGGGTTTGGGGTTGAGGGTGTTTTGGGGTTTAGGGTTTATAAGGGTTGAGGGTGTTTTGGGTCGGTTTGGGGTGGCGGGTGGGTTTGAGGGTAAACCCTAAACCCTAAACTCTAAACCTTGAGGGTATACCATAGCGATTTGTCATGGTATCACCTTGTCAGCCCTGATGGTCCCCAAAACGCCAACCTCGAAACCCTATTCTGATGATGAAGCGCCCGATACTTAATCCCGAACTTGCCTTTTTCGGCCTCCAAAGTCTTAATATATGTGTCTATAGGCCTTTCTTGCGGGGCAGGGGACTTAGTAAGTAGGGTTGGAAGTAGCTTAGGCGAGGTGTTAAAAAGCAAACTATGCGAATTTAACTATGGCAGCCGCACTTGCAACCAGTCCCCCTGATCCTCCAAGTACAGGACAAATGGAGTTGCCAGGCCCCGGACAACTCCAGCATAGGGGCCTGAGCAACTTGTAAGAACAATACCCCCTTATTATAGCTGCCATGTAGATATACAACAATATCGTTGGTAGTTTTTATATTTTTGTGACGACGGCGACGAGCGCCAGTGCCACCGCCAGCACTGCAACTACCACCGCCACCTGCCACTAGGACTATGACTACGACTTCTTGAATGAACACCACTACTACCACTATACCACTACCATTCCACTACGACTATGGCGACGACGGCAAAGACTACGAGAACGACGACGACGACGACCACTACTACTACTACTACTACTACTACTACTACTACTACTACTACTACTACTACTACTACTACTACTACTACTACTACTACTACTACTACTACTACCTGGAGCACTCCCCCTCCTCCTCCTCCTCCCCCTCCTCCTCCTCCCTTGTTATGGATACGCCTTGCTGAAGGGCTTCCAAGAGCCCCTTCATCTTCGTGCTGGAAGTGTTCGGCTTGCATATACCCCATGCCTGGAGTACCCGAGGCCGCCTAGGCTCAGGTCCCTCCCCTGGGCGCTGAATACAAAAAGCAGCAAGGCCTAAACTCAAAAAGCAAGAAGCCCGAACACCCCAAACAACCCTAAACCCTAACCCCAAACCCCAAACCCAGAAATGCAACTGAAGGAGCTTTCGGATGCGTTGCAGCGACGGCCACCCGAGGTGCGCCAGGCACCCTGACAATAACCCAAAGGGTCCTATGTACTGTTATGGGGGATACTTCCCTAAGTCATTGTAGTAATTCCTACTATAGAAACCCTACTTAAAGGCTCATGGGACTTAGTAAGTAAGGTTATAAGTAGGTTATAATTAGGATAACCCCACTTAGGGGACTTATAACCCCAATTATAACCTACTTACTAAGTCCCATGATCCTCTAAGTACATTCTACTATAAGGGTACTTTGGACCCTTTGGGTAAGGGTTTCGGGCTTAGGGTTGAGGCTTTCGGGCTTAGCCGGGGCAGAGGGCTTAGAGGGTTTAGGGTTCCGTATAGAGTTACAACATGGGAGTTTCCGAAAATTAGGGGTACCTTATTTTGGGACCCTCAATATAAGGATCCTACTATTTAGGGTACTATATTAGGATCCCCCATTTTCGGAAACTCCCATATGGGCTTCTGCAAGGGTTGTGCGGGTTTACAGGGCTGACGACAAAGGTTCTACAGTCTACACGATGTTTGGTTTTGGAGTGCATGGTTTTGGGTCGGTTGCAGGGCTTCGGGTGTGGCATGAAGAGTGCTGGATGATTTGCGAGCTTGTGTGCATGAAACACTGCAACGTTCTCACAGTCCGACGGCAGAGACGGTGTTTGCCAGGCTTTGCAGTCTGCCATTGACCACGGACTTCTTCCCCCAAAGCCTCTTGGCTTCTGGTCAGTGTTTCTGGTTCTAAGATTGCAAACTTTAGGTCTTTAGGTGTTGGGTTTGTGGCCTGGGGTGTGTGGTTTAGGCTTCAAGTTTGAGGGTTTAGGGCTTGGTAGACGTTGGCTGGTACAACCACCCCTCTCCTGAAACGGTGTTGAAACGTTCATCTCAGTTCCATGAGGCCCGGAAACGGAGGGGTCGATGAATCGGGGGCTGAAGGTCTTGTGACTAGCAGTCTTATGATAAGGATCCTTCCATTTAGGGTGCTATATTCGGGTCCTCTATTTTCGGAAACTCCCATATACCCTGACCCCAAGGCCCATTGCGATTGTGAAGATGATTGTTGCTGGATTCTGGATGTTGTGTGCCCTAAACCATGAACAGATGCAGATTCTTGGCAAAGTGCGGTTGCAGCAGGGTCTGTCCTGAGACAACTAGTACCCTTCAAGGAATATCCCAGGGCTCTAATTCGACAATGGTTCCATTACATAGGTTTGCCTGGATTCAAGACTACATAGTCCTTGTGCCGGGATGAGCGGAGCTGTCTGGGCATGTATCTAAGAATCGAAGCTTTGAGGTCTCAGGGTTTCGCGACCCAGCATCTCTCGCACCAGGTTCATGGGGATCTGAGCAGGCGTTGATGCTGGCATCTGAAATCGCGCGAGGTTTTCTTGACAAGATTCTGCACTTGTTTCGTGATTTTGCTGATAAGAAGCCCTATAAACCCTACAAGCCCTTAACCCTAAACCCCCTGGGGTGCAAGGCCAACGGCCTGGCGTCGAAGGTGGCTTGCGGGGTTTTGGGTAGAGGATTTTAGGGGTTGGGAGATACTATGAGGTTGCTGCAAGTTGCAGAAGTTCAGATAAGGCTTTCTTTGGGGGTACGGGGTTCAGAGGATTTCGGGGTTTAGAGATTTCGGGTTCAGAGATCCAGGGAAAAGGGGCCAACGCGGCTGCAAGTGAAGCCGCTGCGGGGGGCTGGTAGGTGCCAGCAGCGGCTGGACACACCCGTGTCGCAGAGTACGTGTTGTCCCGCAGCAAGCCTTCGTTTCTGACCACGTCGGTCTTCCAGGTTGATGGGGAATCTACCCTAAGGCCCCATAGTAGTTCCTTCTTGGGGTTCATATATAGAATTATAGAATCTTATAGGTAATCCCAAGAAGGAACTATACTTTGGGGCCCATGGGGTAGCGTTCGGGTTTTGGGATTGTTTAGGCTTGGGGACTCCTGGATTTCAGGCTTTAGGGGTGCGTAGCTTGGATTTCGGTATGGGTTTAGGGTTTAGGGTTTAGGGGTTAGGGGTTTAGGGGTTTAGGGTTTAGGGTTTAGGGTTTAGGGGTTTAGGGTTTAGGGGTTTAGGGTTTAGGTTTGGGGCCCGTCTTCTTGTTGTGGGGTGCATGGAGGTTTCTGATGCTGAAGGCCTCAGGACTTAAACCTGAATGTAGAAGGCCTTCAGAATTAATGTCATGTGTCGATAGTTATGGGGGGTATACGATGATATGGTATGCTTGTATTCAGGAGACCTAGGGAACAAACCCTAAACCCTAAACCCTAAACCCTAAACCCTAAACCCTAAACCCTAAACCCTAAACCCTAAACCCTAAACCCTAAACCCTAAACCCTAAACCCTAAACAACAACCTTATACAGTGCTCCCTAAAACCTTAGGGTTGGCAACGCGAACCTAAACCCCTCGAGCCTCTTCTCTTCCGATAGCTCGCTTTGGCGTAGGGAGGTTCCACAGGGACTGCCTAAAGCCTTCTTGGAGGGTCGGGGGACTTAGTAACTGGTTAGTTTAGGGACTTATAAGTACCATAACCCCAATTAGGGTCCCTTTTAGGGTACTTATAAGTCTACTTACTACCTACTTACTAAGTCCCCCGACACTCCAAGTTACTCCCTTCCTCAACCCCTGCAGCCCTAAACCTTAGAATCCTGAAACCGTAACCCCTGAACCGGAAGCCTTAAAACCCCGCCCCCTAAGCACTAAGCTTTCAAACCTGAGATTTGAGACTTGGCTCTGGGAGCTTACGGTTCAAGGCCACTTCTAGAGCCTTGAACCCTCCAAGCCCTGGCAGTTGAACCTTTATCCCCAACGCCCTACAAATAGTTGGTTATGACCCCTTCTGACCCCCTAAGTAGGTTTTGGGATCCCCAGGTATAGCTAGGGTTATAAGTCCGGTAACTATACTTAAAAACCACTAATAACCCCAATTAAGGTACCTACAACCTTACTTACTAAGTCCCATGATCCTCCAGGGAAACCCTGAAAGCCTAAGCCTCGAACCGACGGAGGATCCTCAGCTCGTTGCTACAGCCTCTACTTACCTTTGGTTAGTAGAGAATGGAAGAATGGTAGTAATACAATACTAGGATGCCCAGTAGTACTCTTATTCCCTTTTTGTAGTCCCAGGTCCTTATAAAGTTACCCAATACCAAAAAGAGAGGCCTTTTTATTCTTAGGTTACTGGGTATCCTATAATAGTAGTTATAATTGTACCCCATTCCTCCATTCCCTACTAACCAAAGGTTAGTCTGAAGCCCGTAGCCCACCCCGAAAGAACCCGATGCTAATGACGTATCGGATTAGGGATTGTGGAGTCTCCGAAAATTGCAGGTATCTTATGTCGGGGTCCTTATAATTATAATAAGGATCCTACTATCTAGGGCACGACATTCGGGTCCCTATTTTGGGGTGTTCGGCAAATCCAAGGTTAAAAGGAGGGACCCTTAATAAGGACCCCTAGGTATATACCCTTAATGCAGCTATTATATACCCATTACAAAGCCCCATCAAGGGTCCTTCTTAGGTACGGCCCCTACTCAGTAATAGAGTAATAGTTGAATAATATTCATAATATAGATATAGTAGGACCTTAATAGTAGCCCTATTATAGACTCTTACTGTATGGGGGCCGAACCTAAGGTCCTTCCTTTTCGCCTTTGAGTAAAGGCCTCGGGCCGCCCTGCTTTGGGGGCGCAGGCGCTTGGTGGCCGCCACCACCGCAGCACTTGAGTCGGCGGACCTGAGTGCAAGCCTCGGAGCACTCGGTTTAGGGTTTAGGGCTTAGGGTTTAAGGTTTAGAGTTTAGAGCTTAGGGTTTAGAGTTTAGGGTTTAGGGTTTCTGTCGCGGCTTCGCGAAAGGCCTGAACAAGTAGAGTCGGATGCTGCTGTGCTTTATAGGCAATATAAAGGGTATTTTTATATGTGTATATACATGTTACATATACATCTTTTTCACATGTAGATAAATATAAGTGCAGATGCATATATATATATATATACATATATATACACACAGGCCACTGGGAGATGTTATGTGTAAGGCGTTTAAGGCCGCCCGAGCTGGAAGGCGCATCTCGCAGCAAGGGAATGCTGCAGCCCCATGTACCCAAACAGCAGGGTTCTAGGTCCGAAATTCTTTCTCGGAATGAATTTGGGTACACAAAACCCTGCTATGTGGGCACTTGGACCCGGATATGGGTTACAATATAAAACGCCTCGACACCCCCAAATTTAAAGAACCCTAGAGGGTTTCCCAAGTAAGCGGTAAATGCACGGGTTCCCTCACATGGAAGTTTGTAAACTTGCTAATGCTTTTCCTTAGGGTTCCTTACTATAGATAACCCCCAACACCTGTTCTAATTAGTATAAGGCCCCTATATGGGAGTTTCAGAAAATAGGGGACCCTAATATAGTAAGCTAAATAGTAGGATCCTTATAATAAGGACCCCCAAATAAGGTACCCCCTATTTTCGGAAGCTCCTATATCATGCTCTTTCAGAGGCCCGGAGGCACTGAGCTGCTCCTTCGTCCTGGTGGACGAAGCGACGCAACTGACGGAGCGGCACAGCGAGCCACGGTTTAGGCTTTAGGGTTTTCGGGTTCAGGGTTTAGGGTTTTTTAGGGTTTAGGAACCCCGAAACCCGAAGCTGTGAACCAAGATGCAGTAGGTTGGGTACTGCCGCCCCCCCCCCCCCCCCCCCCCCCCCCGTGGCTGAGGAAAACCAGGTCTATTTGGAAGCTACCGTTCTACCGTTCGATAAATGGACAGTGCCTGTTGAACTTGGCAGTAGCTTCGACCATAGCTTGAACAACTGCCCAACAGCGTGCAGAGCTGAACATTTGGCTGTAGTTACGTCTGAGGCTTGGAGGGCATCCCACACGACACCCCTACCTCGAGCTCCCCGACCCGGCGCCTTAGTCTGCCGCCGCTATGCTGGGCGACTCTATAGCCGAGATCAAGAAAAAACATTTGTCGAACGCCTGCCGTCGAATGGTGAGGATTAACCCGAGAACTACTACACTTGCATCGTTGTAACGGCTTCGCCACTAGGATAAATGAAAAACATCTAGCGGGACTGACGTAGATCGTAACGGCTCCGCCAGTAGCTTTGGGACGGCTCCGGCGACGATAACTAGAATTGTATAACGGCTCCGCCAGTAGCTTTTGGAACAGCTCCAGCAACGAGAAATATAATTGTATAACGGCTCCACCAATGGATGGCCTCTGCGTAACGGCTCCGCCACTAGGATAAATAAAAGGCATCTCGCGGCACTCTCTGGTTTAGATCGTAACGGCTCCGCCAGTAGATTGTGGAACGGCCCCAGCCACGAAACGTAGAGGTGTATAACGGCTCCGCCACTAAGTAGCAGAGATCCTCCACCAATGTAACGGCTCCGCCAGTAGCTTAAACGACGGGTTGGCCCATCATGGTCGTCAGAGCTATACCACTGGATTTGCACAACGGCGCCGCCACCAGAGTAGTACCAGAACGGCTCCGCCACATATGCGCAAAGCTGCGCCAATAATCTGCCTCTAGGATTGCCTGTGCGTAACGGCTCCGCCACTAGGATAAATAAAAAGCATCTCGCGACACTCTCTGGTCTAGATCGTAACGGCTCCGCCAAGGAGGATGTGTCAGAAGAGGAAAAAGACGACAAGCCATGGACCGAAGTCATGGCGAGTACCGTCGGCAAACTATACGTCAAACTGTGTCCTGGCTGCAGGTTTTGTGCTTTCGAATTAGTGGTCGATATGTTGCCGTAATGGAAATTACCGAGGCAAAGTTCCCTGCTGCAAGATCATCTGATCAAGTATTATGTGGAATGGTGTTGCCTCGAGGATCCTCGGAGATCTGGCTTTTGCGCCCAGGATATTTGTTTGGTGTTTGATGAAGGCAAAGGCATGAGTCAGGTACGGAAGTCTGGCTCTAACAACATCTACGTATTTTTGCCGCATCGTATCTTGGATCCTGTGCCTGCCGACGTCAAGATGCGAGTGCACAAATATTTTGGCAGACAACATACTGGAACAATCGTCCTGCCTTCCAGATGCCCCGCTTTGCTTATAAGTTAGTTAAGGAACTCAGGGAACTTATAAGTGAACTTATCTTGAAGTTATGTAAATGAGTTATAAGTAAGTTAATCAGAACTTAGAGCTAACTTATAAGTTGAGTGTAAGTTCATTTGTGTTTTGCTCCAGGGGCTTTTTTTCCACTGCAGACTGTTGTCATCGTCAATGCAGACACGAGATTGTGTTGCCTACGCATCTCATGTAAAGTGGCAGATTGATGTCTGCAGAAGGTGTCAGGGGCAGCAAGGTCTGTCTGTCAGTAGTTTGCCAGACGGACCCCCAAGCATGCTTCCGTAGAAGCTGCAGGCGCACTGTGAGCACACAGAAGCCGGATCTTCCGCGGAAGCATTCCAGCACTTGAGCAGCTTTATCATCCCACATGATGACGTCTTGAGGCCGGATTAGCAGCTTGCCGAAGCGCAGTGCTTTGCCGGACTGGAGATCGGGGTCGCTGGCGAAAGCTCGCAGTTCGCAGGATGCTGGTCGGAAGGGCTTCAGCAACTCCGGAGGCAAGAGTAAGCCATGTTCCTCAGACTCTCTCAGCGTCACATTGAGCAGGCGAGAGAGCAGCGCGATCTGGAATTTTGAACTGACATTGACGTGAGCTCTTTGGTGCGCAGCGATGTAGGATTTGTAGACCCTGTGCTTGGATTCCTGGGTTTCGCAGTTGGGGAGAAAGGACAGAGTGACACAGCCCGCAGGCAGGTGCAATCTATGATGATGCTTAGGCCGCATGGTTTCGCGACCCCACGCCTGCGGCCAGGCTTCTTGATGCTGCTGCTGTAAGCGATGGAGCATCTGCACATCAGCTGAAGCCAGGGGTCGCTTACTTGCCTTGAGGCGTCGCAGCTCCGCAGAGATGCTTTTCAAGAGGAAAAAACTCCTGCAGACTGCAGGCTTCAGCTCTGCCTTGTGTAGGAGCTTGTGAACAAGATAATAGAGCAAGAAAACAAAGTTCCAGCACAGGGCACCGTTGCCTTTGAAACCATCATTGGAGTCGTAGAGGGTAGACCGGAAGCAAGACTTCAGTTCTCCAGCAGTCTCTGCGCGCGGTTGCCAACCTTCGTCTTGCACCAGTTGCCACAAGGCATCCAGATCGCGGATGCTTTGGAGCTCGCGCATGGCGAGTCCTACCTCCCAGGAGGCCACCCCGTTAACAAAGTAGGCATGCAACACGTCATTGCACGCGCAGGAGGGAGGCAGGCGTTCTCGAGTGTCTGCGTCTTGAAGCAGTGACCCTGGCACGAAGTTGAAACCATATGCTTTCTGCATCCTGGCGCGTTCGCCTGCAGTGGCAATGGCAGCCAAGTGATCCGCCGCGGCGAAGATCTCAGAGTCAGATGCGATGTGAAAGCTGTGAAATCTGCTTTCGCAGATATCAACAAACCTTCCAGAGCCCGTTGCGGCCTGTGGAGCATCGCGCTTGAGCAAGTTCGCGCACCAGAGGCAGGGCTTGTACCCGCTGGAACCTTTATTGCAGTAAGTGGCACGTTGGGCATCGTGATCTGCAATGAAGAGAGCAGTGGGAGCGAGCTGAACTCGAGCCCGTGCACCATGGGCACCCATGTTCAGGTCGAAGCCTTGCCTGTTGGCAGGCTGCAGGATATGCTGCAGCACCTTGACCGTGGCAGCTGAGACACCGCCCAGCACGGTATCGGCTACGTGATGCTGCAGCAGCGCCACGGGCAGCCATGCATTTTCCTTGGCCGTAACATGGCCGAACTCTTGGAAAGTCAGGTACCAGATGGTGGCCTTGAGCTTCTTCTGGGGACTTAAGATGTTTCCCGCTGTGCACTCGTCGTGATACAACAGGACGCGAAGAGTTGCAGTCCTCGCGAGCGCGGCTTGCAGCATGGAGCACCATTGCGAGCTCTTAGCCGCGACTTCCTGCAGCATCGCTTGGGCGTCTGCCACCCAGAAGTCTAGCTCCGAGCCCCGGGTTCCTTGCAGCGTCAAGCGGCAGTAGCACTTCTGGAGAGGGGCGTAGTACTCACTAACGCGGCGCCAGAAAGTACCCTTGGACCATTTCTCATTTTCCTGCGCGCGTCGATTCTGGATAGCCAAAACTGTGGTCTCACTTGCACCACGCAGGTGCAGGCAAGAGGCGACAGCTTCTGCGTCCAGAATTTTTCGTTTCTTGTTGTTGACCATGGCACGCAGCGTTGCTTCTCATGTACTTACTAACCGAGGCTTGCAGGGATTTGCGGCTATACCAGAGGGTTTCTTTTCAGAGGGCTTCGTTTCAGGCCGCCATGTCTTTATTGGGTATAGTCATGTTTCCGTGACCACACTAAGCCCATAATTTCTAAACCTAAACGGCCCGAACTTTGACTATAAAGCCTCTATAGAAGCCTATTGGATACCAGGGCTTCCCGACATCCTAAAACCTCTGTAACTTCTTCCCCTATGAAAAAATGTGTGTCTGTATTCATCTTTTAAGCATTTTTAATAAGAGCGGTTTTTTAGGGTTTGTATATATGTGGGGTGTAGGGTTGGGGGTCTACTGTTTAAGATTAGAAGTCTGCACAAAAGCTGCGAAGAAGAGCTGGTCCCAAGAACTTAGTATTTGCAGAAGTCCAGGCAGCAGCTGTAACAGAAGGGTTTTGAAACCATGGCTGAGCATGTGAAAGAGACCTTCTTTTTTGTAGCACCTGCAGCACTCCTCAGTCGAGACTGTGTAGGTCCAGGTCTTTTGGAGTCGTCTCGAAAGAGAGGTCTCCTTTGAGATCAGAAGCGGAGGTCGCCCCGAAGACATTCCCGGGCATTGGTGCTTGAGACGAAGACCCAGTGCCAGCAGCTGAACTGCTTGGAGCAGTTTCCAGGTCCCTGCTGGCTGTCGATGGCATTTCGCGGGTACGCTCAAGAGCCGCAGCTCGTTTGTTGCATCCGCGCGTATGTCCTCTGTCGGGGGTGCGATCGCAGGTGCGACAACAGTAGAGGCGCATGGACGAGACCCTGCGCGGGCAGTTCAAGCAAAATTGCCCAGCCCTCTCAGCTAGCCGGCCAGAAGCACTAGCTGCGGCCAGCCTCTCAGCACGTCGCGCACAGTCTTCTGTATGCAGGCCTTGCTCTCGGCAGAGACTGCAGCAGTGTCTGTGCCTAGCGTCGTAAACCCTGACAGGGCAGCCTGGACTTCGGCAAGGCCACGACTCCGCGTGAAGGACCGGCACGGAGTTGGGGACTGAGCTCTGGACAGCCATCGACGCTAACACCTTGAGCCAACCCAGGTGGTACATGGAAAGAGGTATCACAGCTATATTGATCGCAGACAGCAGAAGCACAGGACTGCTGCCAAAGGGATAATGCACATCTGAAGTAAAGTCAATTCAGAAAATCAAATGCTCTGGGCATGGGGCTCCTTTTATTCTTTTCTGCGAACCCAAGACTTATGCTGGTATAGATTTGCTGCCGAGCAGACAGGCAGATGCAGATACACCGCGCATCCTCTGGGAAGATAACACGGTCAAACGCAAAACCACAAAACGG